ACGATGTTCACTGTTTAGATGTAGCTACGATATCTGTGGAAAGTGATGCCTCCTTGGCTGTAGACGATGCCAAAACGACCGCTTCATGCCCTGTTGGATACAATCTTATAGGTGAAACTTCTTACTTTATAAAGTACAAACGTATATATACGTTTGTTGAATTATAGTGCTTGATTCCATTTCTATTGCTTGTAATCTGTTCGATTAGATAATTTTGATAGGAACTTACAGTACTAATCTATTATCTACAGGCTGTAAACTTACACAAGGGATATTCCGAACCGATGCTGATGGGATAAAGATAACAGACGGAGCATGCGTTGCTCTTCATTCAGGTGGTTCAAGTACAGGAGTCAAAGTAAGTTCAAATCCGTTCCTTCTCCAACAAGATAACAAATGTAAAATCTATGAATCTGAAGTTTATTTCGAATTCAAAAGTTGTAGGACGACACTAATCATCAGGTATCAGCAACATGCAACAACGAGAACTTGTCCTCTTTTGTCTATAAAGCAGTCGGTAAAGGAGAAGCATCTACTCTGACCTGCCCTGATGACAATTATAAAATTACATCCTGTGTCTACATAGTTGCTTGGGCGCTAGGCGCGATTAAGTAAGCTTGATTTTCAGTATATTATACATTATCTTGATGTATTTTATTATGATATCTTAGACTTTTATTTTTGTGGTATGCTTCTCGAAGTACATATTGGTGTACTAACAGTTTGACTTCTTATATCCGGCTTTTCAGACCGAACGAAGTAAATGATGATTCGTCGATAACCGTAACTGCAGAAAAACGGTGTGTTATATCTAACTGCACGGCCGGCAAATGTCAAACCTATGGAATTTGTGTTCGAAATGGTAAGTTAAATATGTATGTACAATGTACATTTTTACATCGCACTTTACCGCCCACAATTGATAACAAACGACATGAATATTAGCGCAGGCGAGAATAAACACCCTAAGTCCCTAACTTGATTTGTGACCACTGACCACAATCGTAGGATTACCCATTCCACTTTCTACCACTATTTCGCGCAAACTTAAATCGAAAATCAGAAGCATCTGTTGACCTGTAACTTAGATATCACAAATTCATAATTTCAATTGCTTTCAGATGGTAATTTCTTGACTCAAGTGACCACGAAAAATTGATCCAATAACACCATTTCGCATGGACCTTTAAACGATTCATCGTCATCAGTTCTCAATTTGTAAATTATAATTACTAGCAGAAACCCGTCATGATTCTCTAAAAGTCTAAAGTGTTTTAAGAAGTCAAGACTCAAGAGACGTTAAGAAATTAGGCAATCTTATTTATTTAATTTATGATTTTGACACCACTTGGGGGTCCATTTTTCGGGACTTAAATTATTTCTTCCTTGGCCAATATTTTATTTCTTTATACTGACCAAAAGGCCATAAAAGCATTCGACCCAGCCAAAAAAGTTTCGAAAGTATATCTTTTACGGTTTTTGCGGAAAGTCGTGTTAAAGTTGATGCCGTGGTGTCAGTAAAATGGTACGGATATATATAAACAGGAATTAAACAGGAATAAAACATGAAATGACCAAGGAGAACACTATGACCAACGAACTCGTTTTGGTAATACAGCAATTCATAAAGACGATCAGAACTTGAAAAATCGAGAGAATGCTATACAAATAAAATCTTAAGAATTAACCGCGTTACAATTTCACGGAAAAAAAATCGAATATAATAATTTAAATATGAGTAAAAAAGTCCTGGAGATGAGTTAATGACGATGAGTAGGAGACGGGAGGTGATGACAAAAATCCCGTCAAATTTCATAATTAATTATCCAATAATTCAAATACTGATCAATTAGTTTATGTGAATATAACATGGTGAACGGATGTAGGAACCGACCGGATTGGGGTTTTGGCTGCCGGACCGGATCTTGCCGGATTTCAATCTCAAATCCGGCAAGCCAGATTTTGCCGGACCTGAACCGGTGGTTTCAGAGTGAAATATAAGGCAGCCGGATCTTGCCGGATTTTGCCGGATCTCGCCGGAAAATTTAAATTCATATTCTTATTTTTATACTTTTGTCATTTAATCATCATAATATTAATTATAAAACGTGATAAAGATAAATACTAGAGCTACTATTCGTAATAAGGTTCAAGTTTTCCACGATTCAGGCTACCCTGTTCATTATTAGCCGAAAATATTTTTTCGGGTTTTTCGAAGTCCGCACCTACGGCTACCCCTCGATACATAATTCTGGACTCGAGGTTTCCCCCGGTAATTCGATCTCGGAAGGCAGGCCTCCCCTTAGCAACATGAGCTCGGAAGTGGGAGCTCTCGATACAGGAGGTACCTACGTCTCAAGAACGACTCGGACCGAAAATTTTCTAAGTCAAAATCCTTTCTAAGTTTTTCTGAAAACCACTTTTTTCCACGATTCGGCTACCTTGTTCATTATTAGCCGAAAATATTTTTTCGGTTTTTCGAAGTCCGCACATACCCCTCGATACACAATTTTGGACTCGAGGTTTCCCCCGGTAATGTGATCTCGGAAGGCAGGCCTCCCCTTTGCAACACGAGCTCGGAAGCGGGAGCTCCCGATACAGGAGGTACGACTCGGACCGAAAATTTTCTAAGTCAAAATTTTTTCTAAGTTTTTCCGAAAACCACTTTTTTCCACGATTCAGGCTACCCTGTTCATTATTAGCCGAAAATATTTTTTCGGTTTTTCGAAGTCCGCACCTATCCCTCGATACACAATTCTGGACGAGAGGTTTCCCCCGGTAATGTGATCTCGGAAGGCAGGCCTCCCCTTAGCAACATGAGCTCGGAAGCGGGAGCTCTCGATACAGGAGGTACGTCTCAAGAACGACTCGGAACCGAAAATGTTCTAAGTCAAAATCTTTTCTAAGTTTTTCTGAAAACCACTTTTTTCCACGATTCGGCTACCTTGTTCATTATTAGCCGAAAATATTTTTTCGGTTTTTCGAAGTCCGCACCTACCCCTCGATACACAATTCTGGACTCGAGGTTTCCCCCGGTAATGTGATCTCGGAAGGCAGGCCTCCCCTTTGCAACACGAGCTCGGAAGCGGGAGCTCCCGATACAGGAGGTACGACTCGGACCGAAAATTTTCTAAGTCAAAATTTTTTCTAAGTTTTTCCGAAAACCACTTTTTTCCACGATTCAGGCTACCCTGTTCATTATTAGCCGAAAATATTTTTTCGGTTTTTCGAAGTCCGCACCTATCCCTCGATACACAATTCTGGACGAGAGGTTTCCCCTGTATTGTAGCGCGATGCGTTACTGTGCCGCGCCGAGCTGCCATGAATTGACATCGTCAATTAACCCCCGGTAATGTGATCTCGGAAGGCAGGCCTCCCCTTTGCAGTTTGCAACACGAGCTAGGAAGCGGGAGCTCCCGATACAGGAGGTACGTCTCGAGAACGAATTGGACCGAAATTTTCTAAGTCAAAATCTTTTCTAAGTTTTTCTGAAAACCACTTTTTTCCACGATTCGGCTACCTTGTTCATTATTAGCCGAAAATATTTTTTCGGTTTTTCGAAGTCCGCACCTATCCCTCGATACACAATTCTGGACGAGAGGTTTCCCCCGGTAATGTGATCTCGGAAGGCAGGCCTCCCCTTTGCAGTTTGCAACACGAGCTAGGAAGCGGGAGCTCCCGATACAGGAGGTACGTCTCGAGAACGAATTGGACCGAAATTTTCTAAGTCAAAATCTTTTCTAAGTTTTTCTGAAAACCACTTTTTTCCACGATTCCGCTACCTTGTTCATTATTAGCCGAAAATTTTTTTTCGGTTTTTCTTGTCATACGTTGTATGACCCGCCGCGCACGAAGTGCGCGGCTCCCCCTGTAGCGTCGAAGACGCTACAGTAGTGTAGTGTAGTATAGTGAAGCGACAGTGGGGGTCACCGCGTGATACAAGGTTTTTCGAAGTCCGCACCTATCCCTCGATACACAATTCTGGACGAGAGGTTTCCCCCGGTAATGTGATCTCGGAAGGCAGGCCTCCCCTTTGCAACACGAGCTAGGAAGCGGGAGCTCCCGATACAGGAGGTACGTCTCGAGAACGAATCGGACCGAAATTTTCTAAGTCAAAATCTTTTCTAAGTTTTTCTGAAAACCACTTTTTTCCACGATTTGGCTACCTTGTTCATTATTAGCCGAAAATATTTTTTCGGTTTTTCGAAGTCCGCACCTATCCCTCGATACACAATTCTGGACTCGAGGTTTCCCCCGGTAATGTGATCTCGGAAGGCAGGCCTCCCCTTTGCAACACGAGCTAGGAAGCGGAAGCTCCCGATACAGGAGGTACGTCTCGAGAACGACTCGGACCGAAAATTTTCTAAGTCAAAATTTTTTCGAAAATTACTTTTTTTTACAATTAATGCTACTTTATTCAATTTCATTATTAGCCAAAAATTACTTTTTTTGATTTTTTTTGGTTAAAAAAAACTGAAATCCGGCAAAAATCCGGCAAATTTTTTCCAGCCGGAGCCGGATTTTGAAGCCGGATATCCGGCCGGATCCGGATTCAGCCGGATTTCCGGTCGGTTCCTAAACGGATGCGTGTTTCACTGTCTAGCCCATCAACCATAATGGTGAACGGACGATATACCTAAATTCCCAATATCATATTCATTAATCAAGAGAATCATGTCAACAGTCAATAATCTCAATGTATGGAGATTTTTGTGGACCATGCAAAGTATTGGGTATATTTTTCGTAGCAAGTTGGTCGTGTAAACATGTTTATCTGATAATTTCATGCTTACACAATACACCCTGTAATACACATCCAGACAGTATCCAACGGAAGTCTAATTTTAGCTTTCTCTTTGCTTTGTATTTGTAACACTTTCACTTGATGTGATATAGTTTATTATATAGGTGCACTTATTCCGACCAGTACCGCTGAGGGTTTAGGATTACAAGTTTTGTCAGACCTTTGCAAATCCTTCTGCTCGGAAACCACCCAAAACATGGACCCAGAGGAATTTAGTAGGTCTAAAAGAAGGAACAGTCTACACTTAAGCACTGGCCATGATGTTGAAGCGCCAACATCGTCTGAAATACCAAGCGAAAAGACTGTTAATGTGAGATTGGACGAGGTAGAGGAAGAAATGGAGGATCAAACCTTTTACACATGGACCAGGCAACACTTTTCAATCCCAGTCTGTCAAAACTTTATACCAGATCGTGGAGCTAAGAGGAAGGATGCGTGTAAGTGTGGTAACACAAAATCTGAGCATAAAAAGATAAAAGATGAGTTTTCTGAGGAAACACAATGGTCTGCCAAAGAACACTGCAAACTTGTACCAACAACCAGCTTTGGAACTCTAAGTTTTATAAACGAAGACTCAGTCATCATGCCCAAGTTTATCCGAGTTGGTACAACCATCACAGAACACGACCCTCAGTATATTATCCCGGAGAAAAACCTGGAGCCGTTAAAGAGTTTGTTGTTAGAGCACTGGAAATTAAACACCCCTGGACTTCTTATCTCTGTGATAGGTAAATAGAGCAGCTACAGGCTTCGGTTAAGGGGCGATTATAATTATGTTCGTTCATTTTTAAGGGACGTTTTTAAAAATTGGAAATTACCACAACAGAAGTCAATTTTTGATTTTATTTTTTAAATAAACCTGCATTCCGTTTAAGCTTAGTTTCTCAAAATGAATGAAAGACAATCCCCTTGCTCCTCAGGTGGGGCAAAGAGTTTCCGTTTAAACCGGACAATTGCACGAGACTTCCAACAGGGTCTAATGGCAGCTGCCACGGCAACAAGTGCCTGGATAATGACTGGTGGACAAAACTGCGGAGTAATGAGTCTAGTCGGGGAGGCAGTGACCATGTCCTCCTTTAAGTCATCAGTAACTGCCATCGGTGTAGCAAATTGGGGCAAAACCGAGAACAGACACATGTTAACCACAACTTATGCGGGGGAGGATCTAATTATTGACTACAGGACCGGTCAAAACAAGCCACACGAGTGCTCTTTAAACCCACATCACACACATTTCTTCCTGGTGGACGATGGAAAACCCCACACTGCAGGCTGTGAAATAAAATACACCATAGAACTGCAGGATATCATCCAGGACATGTTTGCTCATGAAGGTCAGGGTCTTCCCAAGGTGTGCATTCTGCTGGAGGGAGGAGAATCGAGTATAGACTGCGCCGTGAATGCCGTTAAGAATAAGAACCCTCTATTAATTGTCAGAGGGACCGGGAGGGCAGCTGATATCGTGTGTTACGCTCTGGATCACGCGGAGTCGTACGAGAGGGTTGTGGGATCGGAGATTCTGACAATGTGGGAGTTAAAGGAGAATGCCAGCAAAACGGTACAAATTATGATAGAAAAACACTTTCACAAGTACGGACAAGAGATTTGTAAGCGAATATTCAAGAAGATTCTACAGATAGTAGAATGCCAAAGCATGTGTAGGACCTACGATACGAACAAGGAGACAGGACTGGACCATGCTATACTTAGAGCACTGATTGACAGTATAACCGAGGAAGGCTCAGCCTTTAGACAAATGCACCTGGCCATTTCCTGGAACCAGCCCAATGTAGCAGAGAAGTATATATTTGGTAAACACACTTTCAAACTAGATTCCTTGAACCACTTTCTGAAAGTTGCAATTCAATTTCAGTCGTCATCCTTCGTGAAATTACTGCTACACCAAGGTGCTGATTTAAAGCAATTCCTTACAATAGAAGAGCTAACAAACCTTTACAATGACATTCCAGAAGATAATGTAGTTTCTAAGCTCCTGCTTGTGCGCGGAACTACTTTCTCATTAGAAAATGTTGGTATCCTTATTGAGGATATATTGGAGGGAGCTTACAGGAGCCAACTAAGGGACTTGGGAGGAAAAGTGTCTGATACTTTCTCTAATCCATTTGACTTGATGATGACATACGCTACACTTCGGGGAAACTTTGAGATGGCGATGTTGTTTTGGGAATTCACTAAGTCACCGGCCATTGGAGCTCTGATATCCTGCAGAATATGCGGCTTTTTGGCAAACAATCAGAAAAATATAGACATGACAAATGAAGAAGCACTCGCTACAATCAATGAGGCAGCAGAGATGTTTGAGAAATACGCCGTGGGAATCCTGGATGAATGCAGTTCAGAGCACGAGCCGTTGCAAATGTTCCTCAGCATTCCCCGGAAGGATTACAACAATAGCAGTATAGTTGAGATGGCTCATAGTCTGGAGGCCAAACGGTTCGTAGCTCACCAGGCTTACCAGAGCTACCTGACAGATATATGGATGGGAGGAATAGACCGCACAACCTCTAGTTTGATGCTCCTTTTGAGCTGCCTTCCCGGATTCTTCTTGTTCACTGACATCTACAGGAAGAAAAAGATGACTTCAGAAGAACGTGAAGCACACAGAGCGGCGAAGAAACACTTGGTGAAGACAGTTGGGAGCGGACAGATGATGCGATCGTTAACATACAGGGAAAGATTCCAAAGATTTTTCACGGCTCCAGTGATCAAGTTCATTGTGAATGGAGCTTCCACGTTCCTTTTCTTGCTTTTGTTTACATATATCGTGCTGATCGCAGACTATCACTTCAGCTTCGATCCAGCTGTTCGGAGATGCGGTAGCCTGAGATATGTTGAATATGGAGCCCACGATTTTTATGAGCAATGCATTGAAGGAGAAGACGAAGTTGAGGACGGAGAAGTTTCTCATAGCCCAGCGGGATGGTTGGATTTGTTGCTCCTGGTGTGGATTTTATCAACAATACCCGTCGAAATCGACGAAACACTAAAAGAAACTCCCATCCACCTCGCTACAAAGATAAAGAAGCACTATAGTACTGGTTACAATATCCTGGATTTCATAGCCATTATGCTTTTTATGATTGGATTCCTTTGTAGGATTTCGACAAATGAATGGCACACAAATCCCTTCGATCTCTTTACCTTTTTCAATTGTGCAAGGTTCTGCTACATTCTGTCTCTTGGATTTTATATTTTTCGGTTCTTGCACCTTTTTGAGATCAACTCTCATTTAGGGCCAAAGATAAACATGATAAAGAAGATGATGAAAGATTTGGTCCTGTTCATCTTCATACTTATCGTTTTTATGTGGATGTACATTGTACTATCAGAGGGATTCTTGAATCCTACTCAGACCGATCCATCAAAATGGAGAGAAATCGTGAAATCCACTTTTCAGCGCTCTTTCTTTAACGTCTTCGGAGAAATTAACATCGAAGACTTGAACGATGAGTTCCAAAACTACAACTGCGACCATCTCTATCGATCTCACATGAAACTTTGGGATTCGGATAAAATTAACCATTCAGATCACGACCATTCTTTTGAAACATACCTTAATGCTGCAAACGGATTTGAAAATGCAGAAGCTTGTAAGGAAATGCACCTTGACGACATTTTCTACAGATCATCAGAGTCAGAACGTGTAGTCTACATGGAACTGAGCTACGTTATTGTTTACGGAGCTCTGTGTTTCTACCTTCTCATCTCCAATGTCTTACTAATCAATCTCCTCATCGCCATATTCTCCTCTACCTACGAGAGAGTGGAGGAGGATTCCGACGTGATCTATAAGTTCCAAAGATGTGCTGTGATTTTAGAGTTCTCTGACCGACCTGTAGCCCCGAATCCATTCAACGCCCTGGAGTACCTTTTCAAGATTTTTAGGAGAATAAAGGAAACCGTGAACTTGAAATTTAGAAGACAGGATAGAAAGAAGAAGGGAGCAGATGCAGAAATGGAATATAAAGTGAGCCTCATAGAAGCAGAGTGTAGAGCTCTGTTCCAGAAGAGTTTAGAGTCCAGTGTGGCTCCAGAAACGCGGCTGATAAACGAAATAAGACACGAAACACAGCTTATCCGCGAGGAACTCCAACAGACTCAGAAAATACTCAAACAAATCGTCAACGAAACTGAAATGACCAATAAAAAGAAAGTCACACCAGTAACAGAGCTCTGGAAAAAGATCTTCTCACACAAGTTCAGTAGACAATCTCCTTATCACGAAACCAATGTCGACAGATTCCCCGTCCCAGACAGTAAATTGAATTGGCACACCAAATTCTCTGGCTACAAGCCAACTTTCTACGATAACCCGAGAGCAAATCTGTTCGACGAACCTGCTGATCCGTATCTGGTCTCCCACTTTAACGAGAAGAAAGACGGAGTCAACAGACAGAGCAACACTGCAGAATATGTTGTTATGGAGGGGAGGCCACTAAATCCCAAAGGGAGGTCGGGACTGATCGGCCGGGGTGAACTTGAGAGATGGGGACCAAACCACATCACCTTGTCTCTTGTGTCCAGGTGGGCCAAAAAGGATGGCAAGTTGGTCACTATTAACAACCAAAGAGTTCTTGAAATGATAGCCATACGTAGGGTAGGTTCAGAGAAATGGGACTTGCCTGGCGGGTATATTCAACCTAACGAGTCTATCAGCGATGCTCATAAAAGGACCTTTTTGGAGACCACGATGGCGTTAAACAGGGAAACTGGGGAAGGGAGATTGAAACTTCAACAACAAACAGACAGATGGATGCAAAGCGGGATTATCTTATATAAAGGCTACTTTGATGATGCAAGAAACACTGACAACTCTTGGATTGAAGTGCATTCAGTTAACTACCACCAAGAAGATGGCACTTTGCCAGAGGAATTCCAACTGTGTGGAGGAATTGAGGAGATAAAATGGAAGGTGATGGACGATAAGCAATCTATGAACAAGAACAATCTATGGATAATGAAGAAAATGTGTATACACGCAGGGGCGTACAATCCCTACAAAGGTGAAATATTGATATGAAAAGAATTGTGAAATGAGTGCTTTTGCAGTGCCCAAGATGGCATAGGAGTTTACTTTAAGTTACAATGTTTGCTTATATACAGTGTATGATGTTGTAAGTAATAATAATAAGTAATAATAATAATTCAATGTACGTTCATAGTGTAGCCATTTACTTCGTTGGAAATCTCCAATTTTGGATAAGAATGGTATGGCACCTCCCAACAAATATTAGATGTTAATTATGCATCGTTACGTATATCTACATAATGCAAGCGAGATGAATTATGCGACATGAGAACTCCACATGTAAGATTCATCTCAGTCGTGTTTCTTCATCTCAATTTTGTTTCTTCATCTCAATTTTGTTTGTTCCTAAAATCTTAACGTTTTGACTGGTCAGGATGGGCCTAAATGGGAAATCTCTTGAAAATAACCAGTACAACGATCTATCATAAAGAGTACAATTGTGCAGTTAGTATACATTTTCAATATCACTACCTGTACTGTTCTGTAGAAGCCCTATTTTGCCTTAATAAGGAATTAAGGAACAATCCAATGGACACGAAAAAAGCTCGATATATATGCTACAATTCTCGAGGTATCCTGCAATTGCAAAAATTTCTGTTCTTTCAGAGCAATTGAACTAACAGAAGCAATACGACGAACACGATAACTGCCTACCAATACACTAATAAACGGTCAATGCCCGGAAATTTCTCATAGTTAGCCAAGGTCGAATACAGCACTAAGCAGGGTGGGCACAAGGAGCGATTAGGGCACAACAATGAGTCTTATCTACAACAAATAATTTGAGAAGGAAGATTATGTCGTCTAAATTCTATCACATCCCCTATCACAGCTAGGGGACGTAGAGCCGAACTAGAAAACATTTTGAGAAAATTTAAGAATGTTTCCAGGTTATCCTGCATTCTGCCTTAAGTTAGCTTTTTGAAAAAAATCGATTTATGTGAGGGACATCTAATGTTTAAGCCCAGCAGATATTGGTACTGAGGCGTCTAATAGAGGGTGTCAAGAGTCGGAAACTGCCAGCTGTTCTGACATTTATAGACTTTAAGAAGGCTTTCTACAGTGTTCATCGTGGGAAAATGCTCAAGATTCTAGAAGCTTACGGTATTCCAGTCAAAATTGTACAGCTTATACGGCTCATGTACGAGAAGACAACCGTTTTGTACGGCGGCAAAACCATAAAAACTAAATTCACGTGAAATTTGCAATGCAAAATTCAGAATTTGGCCGCCAAATTTTTAAAAAGGCCTAACTCAAAATTCTATCCCAAAACTTAAAAAAAAATTCTACGTTGATTCTGAAAATTTCATGCAAAAATATCGAAACCCTATTGAGTTCTATTGTTTTGAGCAAATTGCGATCAGTTTTGCAAATATCGCGAACTGAGATATGGGCAATTTTGTTCATTTTTTGCGATTATTTGAACACAGAATCCACAGTTAGGTAGATACTGAGCTGGTAATCATAGATAATGTGAAGTATATGCTTACCTTCCATATAAAGTTGGTTTCAATTTCATTCAAAAATATTGATATTTGACCAATTATTATGGGCCAAAATCGATCAAATTTGGTGCGTATGCCCAAATATGGTCATATGGTTTTTGGCTCATAACTCATAAACGAGTTCAGGGGACCACTAGCTACAAGTACAAGTAGAGCACATAAAATCTGGATTTTGGGCATGTTCAGGGTATTTGGCTGAATTGGGCCTAATTTGGACCAAATATGGACTGGCTGCCCCGCAGGCACCGTTTGGCGGTGGGGGTCCGGGATCCCCTCAAAAGTTCGGTCACCGGTCCTAGTTTGTTGGTCAACTGCTATCTCGCAACCAAGTTTCACAAAAAAATCAGGGTGAACCCCCCCCCCCCCCCCCTTAACGGAACGCTACCAGCTCAGTTTAGAGTAAACGTTAACGGAACGCTATCAGCTCAGTTTATAGTAGACGTTAACGTAACGCTATCAGCTCAGTTTATAGTAAACGTTAACGGAACGCTATCAGCTCAGTTTATAGTAAACGTTAACAGAACGCTATCAGCTCAGTATATAGTAAACGTTAACGGAGCGCTACCAGCTCAGTTTATAGTAAACGTTAACGGAACGCTACCAGCTCAGTTTATAGTAAACGTTAACGGAACGCTATCATCTCAGTTTAGAGTAAACGTTAACGGAACGCTATCAGCTCAGTTTAGAGTAAACGTTAACGGAACGCTTTCAGCTCAGTTTAGAGTAAACGTTAACAGAACGCTATCAGCTCAGTTTATAGTAGACGTTAACGTAACGCTATCAGCTCAGTTTATAGTAAACGTTAACGGAACGCTATCAGCTCAGTTTATAGTAAACGTTAACGGAACGCTATCAGCTCAGTTTATAGTAAACGTTAACGGAACGCTACCAGCTCAGTTTATAGTAAACGTTAACGGAACGCTACCAGCTCAGTTTATAGTAAACGTTAACGGAACGCTATCAGCTCAGCTTATAGTAAACGTTAACGGAACGCTATCAGCTCAGTTTATAGTAAACGTTAACGAAACGCTACCAGCTCAGTTTATAGTAAACGTTAACGGAACGCTATCAGCTCAGCTTATAGTAAACGTTAACGGAACGCTATCAGCTCAGTTTAGAGTAAACGTTAACGGAACGCTATCAGCTCAGTTTATAGTAAACGTTAACGGAACGCTATCAGCTCAGTTTATAGTAAACGTTAACAGAACGCTATTAGCTCAGTTTATAGTAAACGTTAACGGAACGCTATCAGCTCAGTTTATAGTAAACGTTAACGAAACGCTATCAGCTCAGTTTAGAGTAAACGTTAACAGAACGCTATCAGCTCAGTTTATAGTAAACGTTAACGGAACGCTATCAGCTCAGTTTCTGAGTCTGCTGGGCGCTTTTCAGGGTGACTGCCTATCAGTATCTGGGTGTCTGTTTAGTGTTTACACTTGTACTTGCAGGTGCACTCTGTGAACTCCGAACCATCCTCGCTACTACAATGGGCAGGCCAGATCCACCCATCACTAGTCGAGGCCTTCCCCTTGACACTGGGTATGCAGATGATGTCGACTTCAATGATGGAGATGAAGAATACCTGAAGCGCATTTCGCTTGTGGCAATTGATGTGCCGAAGCGTTCTATAATTGTTTTTATGCTTTTATGAACTGCGATTTTATGTACATTTTACACCATATTACTTCATATTCAAACCTCCTTTCCTGCATATTTTTACACAGGGCCGGAGTGCACCTAATCTTCACACCATGATTCATGCTGTTTCATACTTTACACCTTCGTTGTTTTTCAATTGAGAGGAATAAATGTTACGAAGGGCACTTATTTCTATACTATTTTACAGTCGATCAGTAAGTATATCGATTCATGACGATACTGGAAACTTATGGGGTTTCCACGTTTATGTTATCGTTATGTATTATTTAACTATTTAATTATAAAAGCACGAGCGTGCTAAATCACTCTACAGTCGATCTTCGAGACTGTTCTAAAAGGGCCCCCGATGGTTGTAACCAACTTCAATCGATGTATTTTCGGACGCTGATTCCGAATCACCCCCCCATAACATAGGGTTAAAATGCTCCCCTGACGAGATATTGGCGAAAAACTGTCTTGATCACGTGATATGACCGTATAAGGAAGTTAGTCTAATTTCTCGTTAAGGTTAGGGTTTCAGCTATATGTTTTTGTTAAGGTTAGGGTTAGGGTTAGGGTTGGGATCAGATTAGAGGGTTAGGGTTTCGAAAAGTCGTTCAGAACCAGCTAAAGAACGGGTTAAAAATGTTACGTGACAGTCGAGTGTAGAGTGATTAATCATCATCCCCAACAGCATGAAGACCTTATAGTATTCCGTAACGACTGCAATCACTTTCGGATTGCAGGTTGCATGTCTCGGTTTTTTTGTCATACGTTGTATGACCCGCCGCGCACGAAGTGCGCGGCTCCCCCTGTATCGTCGAAGACGATACTATAGTGAAGCGACCGTGGGGGTCACGGCCACGTGATACAAGGTTTTTTCTATTATGTCGAGGGGAAAATATGCATGAGAGTGAGACCACCTACTCCACGATGGCATCTGATAATAATTAACTATCACTCCTCAAATTCCAAAATCAATCGGAAAAGAGGTGTTGTGACGCGCAAAGATAATACTTTACTCGCATTTATGTCGCGAGGAGATGGCGCCAGAAAGATATATCAGGAGATGGTCGGTCCGAGGACAGCTTTGGCGTGGTCTAATTTAACCCAAACTATGTATTTATTTACAATTTAGTTACGTCACCGTCACCGTCACCGTCACCGTCACCGTCACCGTCACCGTCACCGTCACCGTCACCGTCACCGTCACCGTCACCGTCACCGTCACCGTCACCGTCACCGTCACCGTCACCGTCACCGTCACCGTCACCGTCACCGTCACCGTCACCGTCACCGTCACCGTCACCGTCACCGTCACCGTCACCGTCACCGTCACCGTCACCGTCACCGTCACCGTCACCGTCACCGTCACCGTCACCGTCACCGTCACCGTCACCGTCACCGTCACCGTCACCGTCACCGTCACCGTCACCGTCACCGTCACCGTCACCGTCACCGTCACCGTCACCGTCACCGTCACCGTCACCGTCACCGTCACCGTCACCGTCACCGTCACCGTCACCGTCACCGTCACCGTCACCGTCACCGTCACTCCCAGAAGTCACTGTTGAAGGATGTTACTCGTCTAAATTTCTTTGAAGTAGCGAGTGCCGCTTACTGAGTGCGCGGCGCGGCACAGTAACGCATCGCGCTACAACGAACTGACTAGATCGTTGCTTTACAGACCAACGATTTGGAAAGGTTTAAATCGTCAATCAGCCTCACAACAAAAAGGCATATGACATGATGTGTTTATTTTTACAAAGCGAACATTTTGCAAAAACCGAAAGTCTCTAGCTCTTTTATTACTGGGCCGCGCTCAGCCTGTCATTCCGCCAATTCTTTATGTTAATGAACATAATAGCCTGGGGTCCTCAGGTAAGCTCTTTTACTTTCAAAATTAGGCCCAGCTTGATCTAACCAGAGCCCTTTTGCTTGCAGTAGCGCGCGATTCTACTTGTGAAACAAGCGATTCCAAATCAATAGCAGTGTTCACAGCTGGTAGGCTGGTTCCTTTAGACAAATGTCAAGGCCTAAGGCCAATAGGTATTAGTGAGATCTTGAGACGAATTATTGGGAAGTGTGTGATGATGGTGTTAAAGAAAGATCTTCAGAAAGATGCAGGATCACTTCAAAGTTCAAACATGTGCAGGCCATGAAGGGGGAATCGAAGCAGCAATACATGTTATGAGTATGACAGAGGTTCATGATGATGAGAACATTGTAGGTTTACAACCTACCAGGACGAGCGCCGAGTTGGACGGTCCCAATATATGGAACAGATATTTTACGAGTATCACCCGTTAATGAGAACACGGAAGCCATTTTGTTAATGGATGCTTAAGGGGCCATAATTGTCTCAATTATGTAATTATGTAATTAGACAACAGTTATTTCGATAAGGGGGGATAGAGGGCCCAAGTTGCGATATAAACCAGACAATATTGGAGATTTAGATTTAAATAATGAGCCCTTTGGCTAGAGAATAATTTCTTAGATATTTTGGACAGTTTTTAATATTGGTAATGTTAATGAATTGTAATTGATTGATATGTAATATTTAGGCTCGTAGCCAGTTTTCAAAAATTATGTAATGTATAGAATTATTATTATTACTAGAAAGCCCGTGGTAAAAGGGACGAAGCTAGTAGTATTCTTTGAAGTAAAGATGACGTTAAAACAATCTTTGCACGTGCATGTGTGCATTAAAACACTGTTGCTATTGAACCTTTTAATTTTGGTTGTTACCTAATTTGCACGTGGGCGGTCGTACGTACAGAATTCTCTGAATTATAATAGCTCCTCAAAGACGAGCTTTGAGGTCTCTTAAGTTTGTTTATGTAAATTTTATAGACAATTTATTGTAGCTATTAAAGGGGATGTACGGATAAAGTACCAAACCTTATTGTGTATATTTGGTTTAAAAAAAATTATAATAGAGATTAATGGATGCTTCCAATGCATTCAACACTCTCAACAGGACCGCTGCTACCAACAAGAGGAACAGTGGCGTAATGAAGGGCCCCGCTGACCCCGCTGTCCCCGCTGTGCAGGGGGGGGGGGGGGGGCGCCGTCTTAGGGGGGCGCCAAATCGTCGTTTGAATGTGGGACAATTTCGAAAACTTAACTAAAGTACTAGCAAAACTACGCGTTTTGCTTTAGATACACACTTTTTAAGAGATTTTACCGGCGTATCCTCTTAAATCAACTAATTTGTTCAATTTTAGAGAGGGGCACCGAAAGAGAAGGGGGCACCAACAGGGGGGCGCTTTTTCAGCGGGGGGGGGGGGGGGGGGGGGTGCCAACAGGCAACGTTACGCCACTGAAGAGGAAGTATACACCACATCAAACATCCATAAATATATATAGTACATAAACTAATTACAACACTACAAATCTATTACATTTATTGAGGATGACTGTGAAGGTATATTTTACCGACATTTGAAGTCAAGGCGTTGTTTTACTGACAGTAGTGGCTGACTAACAACATATAGTAAAACAAAATTTAGTAAAACAAAATTTTTATTTACCACAAAACAATCAATACATATTTAATATTATTATACATTTACAAATAAATCTAAATTTAAATTCAGCTATATATACAATACACAGCCCGCCGCGCAGACAGCCACACATTGCTGAGAGATTCTCAGGTGCAGATGTAAGCGCCGCGCGCGAGGTTTGTTATCTTACAATTACATGTCACGATATATTATTAATTATCAGAGAATTTTAGAAGCAAAATAATAATTGCATATTGGGAAAATTTCGGTCGTTAACGCAGTACAGGGCGTGGACACTGCAATGCTAATAACGGAAAATTTTGAGGCACGAGTTTCATTCAGCTACCCAATTTATATGTGACATGTACTTGTATTAAATTCAGATAAATGTTAGTAACAATCGACGCCAACATTGTGCAACTGTAAACTGCAAAATGTTAACGTCGATTATCATTAAATCACATCTCGCAAGTTACTAATTCTTTGCACTATATATGTTACGTCACTATAGCATATGTCATTCATATTGTATGTTATATAAGATAAAAATAAACATTTTATAATTGTTTCAATGTTCAACACTGCTAAAAAACAAATACCTACTTGCCCATCGATTAAGCAGTCGCCAAAACAAGGCTCAAAGTTAATTTACCTTCACACCTCGTTTTGGAGACTGAAGGATGTCAATAAATAAATAATGGATAACATTAATACTGAATGTGATGGATAATCAGTAATATCAATAAAATCCACAATCACTAATCATGTTTTCGATGGGCAAGCACTCGCAACTGGATGCTGAAACAAACGGCGCAAGTCTTGCACCGTTCATGCAGCATACGTCGCGAGATATCATGAGCTCCGCTAACTCTGCGATTCTAACGGATGAATTAGGCTACCCCGACAGAAACACAGGTAACAGGGGGTTGTGGAAGGACACGGACACTGTTCGTTAACTCGTACCCCGGGTACCCCAGGTATATAGATCTATGTCCCGCCGGAGAGAGCCCACCACCAGTCATATCGAAAGCAGCTTTTAATTCTGCATTATAAATATCGCGTCGTCATAATAAATAATATACATTACCACTACACACTTGTCACTACACACTTTTATGCACAGTACAACTAAAATATTAACAAGAGACAGAAGAGTTTTACATCGGCTCAGCACCGCAAGGACGTTGGCTATACACGTGGTTCATAAATTAGTTTGATTTGGGTACGGTTCGACCGGGAAAGTGGTCGGGATTAGTTCTCATAATGAGTGATCACTGTTGTCAGATATATTAGAGCGGGAACTCCCCCAGGTTCCGGACGAAACGCGCACAGTATTTAGAGTATCAGCGCGCAATGCTGTGCGCGTTCATTCCCATATTGTTTTATCATTCGGCGATCGCGTTCAACGTGACTGGTGAGGAAGTGCTATGTTGTTTACCTAAATTCAAGCATGGTATCCATAGATAAGATTATCAGTCAGTAAGTGGGAATAACAGGCAAGTATATATATATATATATATATGTATTGATTGATTGCGTAATGAATCGGTGATAAATAGTAAAATTGTCTTTTCTCATCAACTTGGGGAAAGAAATGATTAAAAAAATCAAAAAAATTCCGAACTTTAAGCCAAGAATGACACTATAGCTGAAAGATGTGGCACCTCCAAGAGAGCTCTACTAGCAGCAAGAGAAAAGGGAGATACCAAACACCCCCATCACCTGTGGATGTGGAAAAACAAATGAACTTGACCACCTTCTCACTTGCAAGCTATAGGGCTACATGTGACCCACGATCACAATCACATGACCCACAATCACATCAGAGACACAATGGCCAATCTCCTGTATGAGGTATGTCATGATGTGAAAGTTGAACCCCAGCTACAGAAGGTAAACAATGGTGACTGTCTCAAGGATAAGATTTGCTATGCTAAAAACAACTCTTATCGCTCTTCGTCGGTACTGAGGAAAGAAGATCGACATCAAACATGATAATCCTCCATCTGAAGTCTCGTACAACCTCATCCCTGCCCCGATGATGGAGTAGTCCGAGTAGATGATGTGTTTTGAAAATTTGTGTGACCGTAGTTCCGATTGGTTGCTTTTGTGATCATACCACATTTTCTATTGCATTCTTTAAGCTTTTGTGATGCATGTTGCTTGATATGAAGTTTAGATCTTCATCTACGTATCTACTATTACCCCAAGGACTTTCGTGCTTTGTATGTAGTTGATGCTTTTTACATAATCCTGCAGGTTTTTGTTCTTATTATAAGCTTCAGTTTTCATGATGATCCCCTCTATCTTATTTGTATCACAGTTCACTAATAGCTTGTTCTTGATGCACCACTTGCTAAGGTGGTCACATAACATCTACATTTTTTTTCATGGCATCCCGAGATTGTATCGAACGAGATCAAAAGTGTACCGTCATCAGCAAATTTATAGCAGCTAACATATCTTTTTACCTCTTCCAGGGTGTTTTGTCTCATGTCTGATAGATATAGGATAAAGAAGAGAGGTGAGAGCACAGGCCACAGCCCCCTGAGGTAGTCCAAATATTTTACACTTTCTTTTCTCTCCTTTACAGTTGTTCACTTATATATATTTTCATATTGTCCGGTTAAACAAGAAACTTCTCAACACATTGAGAAGCTTAGTCTGAGCAAAAATGTGGCTCCTTTTTCTACATTAGAACATGAACAGGAACTTAGAATGTTTTACAATTAATTGAGTTAAGTTTTTTCAAAATTGTCCCACATTCAAATCGGTGGCATAAATTTGCATGTTGGCGCCACCCCCTCCCTAAAATTAGACAAATTAGTGGATTTCAGAGGATACGCTAGCAAAATCTCTAAAAAATATGTTTCTATAGCAAAACGTGCAGTTTTGCTAGTACTGTAGTGAAGTTTTTCAAAATTGTCCCTAATTCAAACGGCGATTTGATGCCCCCCTAAGATGGTGCCCTTCACACAGCAGGATCAGCGGGGCCCTTCGTTACGCCACTGATTCAAATGATGACCTTATGGCAGACAAGGTTTCTTATATTCATAAAATTTGTTAATTATTTCGACTAACTTAGAAATTTTAGTAATTCTATTGAACATCAATTTCTTAAATTATCTTCAAGATTACAAAGTTATTGTGTATTCAATAAAGTAATTACCACTTTAGTATTCGTTGCTGACGTTATCTTACCTGAATTTAAGGCTGAAATATACAAGAATTTGAAAACATTACTCCTCTTTTAGGTGCTATGAAGCAACTAGATATGTTTGATATTCTGTAGAGCTGGTAATGATAGTACCCTGAGTAACCATGGTAACTAAATGATACTCTCAATATGTACCGTACTTATAACTTCAGGTAAACACTTCAATATTTCAATTTTTTGCACCATCTTTATATAAACCGTTCACTTTAGTATTGCAATTTTCACACCATCTTTATAAAAAATTTACCTCAGTATTTCAATACGTCATACTCTTTCAAGTTTGAAAAGCAGGACCTCCATAGTCCGTATTATAGTATTTTATAGGTTAAAACACAATTTTCCAAATTTCACTGTCAAAGGCTAACAAAAAAAATCATGTTTTACTGCAATCCATTAATCCACAGCCAGCTTTTCAATTTTCACACCGAAAACAGTTACTTCACAGTTCACCGTGCATGTTATAGAACTAGTATGTGTTATTAATCACCTGAGTAAACCAGACCGGAGTAGGTTTTTACACATTACTCCGCCTGTACGTTGTAGTGAATGCAATATAAGACAAATAATGTACATGGTGTGGTTGAGTGCTCTATCTTATCTGTAATCGATAACGAAGAAATTACTAAAGATTTCATAGATAAGATATTAGAAATCTAAATGCACTGTCGTTATAACTAACACGACTATTCTCTAAAATTCAAACTGTGGTTAAACAATATGATACCCAGGATATTTAGTTTACATTTGTTATACATACATAGTTGGACAATAACATCGTTCACTTTGTGTAAATAACATATATAAATAAGTAATATATGATATATTATGTAATATATTATAATCCATTATTTGCAACAGTTTACATAGTAAATAAAATATATAAATAAGTAATATGATATATTATATATTATATTATAATCCACTATTTGCAATAGTATATAATTTAGTCAATAATATATTATGTAAATAAGTATAATATGATATAATATTATATATAATATATTCATAATCCATGTCTACTATTTGCAATAATATATATAATAATATAGTAAATAATATAATATGTAAATAAGTTATATAATACAAAATATCATAACACACTATTTGCTTCCAGGCCAGCTTCCCCACCAGCACCTTGTCTTGTAATGCCCGGTGCTATAGCTAAAGGCCTCTCTCCCATCAAATTGAAGCCTCCTTCTAAGCAGTCTTTTGAAAACAGGTCAGTTGGTTAGTACAGTTACTGTGGTTACTGTGGTTACAATAGTGGCTATAGTTACAATTGTTGCTATAGTTATTATGGTTACTTTGGTCACTATATTATTACATATTATAAACCATATCAAAGTTCAAAATATCTGAAAACAACAATCATAAGAACTTTATTGGTATCTGTCTCAAAACACCCCCCCCCCCCCCCCCTTTACTGAATCAGCATAGTGGATAACAATATTCAACTGTTACGGCTGAAATCACCATTTGATGACGTTGCTCTAGCAAGTGTCCCATAGTTTCATGAACTGTTATGGTATTAAGTTAATTTAGTAACGTCATGATCGGCTTACTCTGATGTGGGCTGCTAAACGTTTTAATTTGTTTCATTTTTGTGCACAGCGTTAATTTCTTTTCATTTACTGGTATGGGACGAAAGACAAAATCGAAAATTTAAAGCATCAAAAACTTTCGAAAATAAATTTGGATATTGAATCAGAATTTTCAGTTTCCTACATATTTTACAGAGATTTAAAACCAATTCAGTTCTCATAATATTTATTCTGGCTTTTAATCGGTCATTTTCTATCGATGAGCACACATAATACATATTCTGGTCACATGAAATGTCACATGAGATTAACAACTAAAATTTTATCATTCAAAACAAATTAAAATTAAATTCAATACACAATTTTTGGGCAGTGACTTCATCGTCTATGAACAATTTTCTGAACCGTTTATTATCTGCTATATACACTTTATGCCTCCTTTTCGTTTATTATTTGTCATTCCAGAGAAAGACGAAATCAAAACCTTACCTTCCGTTTCGTGGAGACCAACCTTTTCAATTCGGTCACAATCTGGTCCATTTCTTGAGATTGGAATTATTGGGACCATCCGTCGATTCTCACCAACCTCGAATTTTAAACTGTCACGAAGCTTAATCCTTCCATTTCGACGACGAATTCCATAATTTGCAGGCAAGAGTTTGTAATTGTCTGCAGAACTAATGAACCGGCGGCTGGCATGCTGGCGACTCAATGTAGTGCCCCGTAAACATCCACCTCTAACCCACTCTCGTAACGATTTGAACCTGGTGAAGTATACAACAGGGTTAGCAGCGGCATTAAGACCCGTTAATAGGATAGCAGTCACGTTCCAGGAGTAGAAATACATGGCAGGGGAGTTGTAGATAGGGCCAGGGTACTCCAGAGAGGTTATAGTGATGAGGTAGAGGACATAGTTGATGAAGAGAGGAATGTTGGATAGAATGTACATTATTGTCACCATGATGATAGTTCCGGTTGCTTTTCTGTTAGTGCTTTCTATTTTGAGACTGGACCTCCTCATCGCATACTTTACCTTCGTTCTCTTGTCCTTAACTTGCCTCACCACCAGAATCTTTTGCGCTGAGATCACGCAGCTGAGAGTTATTGGGACGACAGGGAACGCAAGCCCGGCAGTGTCCATAGCATTGTCTATGGTGTCCCAAAGAATTGAAATGCTCTCTCCAGGAATAGGATCAGCCCAGCAGTACCCACCTTCCCAATGGTACGTTATCCGGACTAGGTTAATAGAGGGAGGGATAACAAAGAAGCATGTCATCAATACCCACAAAACAGCAAGTGCTCTCAATACAGTTTTCCGGTTGACTCTCTTGAGTGGGTAGACTAAGGTGTAGGTCCGGGTGCAAGAGAGGGTTGCAACAAGAAATACAGACATTCTCTGAGACATCTGGAAAAGAATATGATGAACAGAGCATGCTCCTGGAAGCCATAACTCTCTTAGTCTTAGCATGGTTATACCATGATTGAAGCAAAGGAAACAGATGGTTGCATCTTGAAGAGCAGCCAAAGTATACAGGTAAGTGGGAAGATCCATGCTTTTTAATTGTTGTCTGGTGAAATAAAAAAGAGATAGGAGGTTAGCTGGGAGTCCGAAGAGAAAGCAGCATATGTACAAGGTTCCTATGGTGATATCTGCTATCTTGTAGTTAGGATCTTGTTGGAACTCCGTGATGTTGTACATATTGGCTCTCAAAGGTCCTTGAAAAATTTAGGTATTATCGAAGGTTTGTGAAATAGCGAGCGTACTCAGAACTTATAAATTGAAAATTTTAAGTCGGGGTCAAACCAACTCAATTTAGAGAACAAATAATCACAGTTTAATTATGTTGCATCAAATCTAATTCACTGATAGTTTTAATCCCTTAAAGTTGTAAGTTAAGGCACAATGGAGTGGCAGACAGTTCAATACTTCATTAACCGTAGCAATGTCATAAACACGAGGTTCAACAAGTCGAAAATTCGAGGAACGGACAAAAAGGTTTAAACAAAATATTTTAAACAAAATTGTAAGGTCACAATATAGCAATGACAGTTCAGTAATTATACTATCATAATACAGTTACAACTACAATACTAAAGGTACATAATATGGTTCTGATTATGAGTCTATTCATAAACATATTGGTCATGAGGCGATGTTCCATTGATTATTAAACAAGTAATTATTGAATATTTCATCAAGGCACATGTCATCCATTCGCTGTTGTGTACAATGATACGCACAATCACGTGATAATCACGTGATACATACAGCATTCATCAGCATAGTACATAATAATTAGAGGGATACACTCTGGAGGATAATTAGATTTAAATAGTTTCACTGATTAGCTCGGGTCGGTTCTGTTACAATTGCTGGTTATTATTATGATAACCCATAATAACAACCATTAGTCTTAATTACAGTGTCGTAACCACATCACACTGCGTTCACCATCTATCCAAGGGGCCATCCATATTTAAGTTGTCAAACAAGGGGGTAAGGGGTTTCGATGACGAAGGGGGAGGGGAACACAGAGTCAAACTTCTAAAGTGAAGTTTGAAGTTCTGTGTTCATGTTGGTGACTGATGTAACATTGCATCTCGTCAATATGGAACTGGCATGAAATTTTCTAGAAGAGTAAAATCACCAGAATTAAAGATGAAGGACCTTATTGAACCTGTTCTATAAGCTCCTTCATCAATAAACCTGTTCCATCAAATTGACTATTTTTTATGCAATTTAGACATCGAAAACAGGGGGAGGGGGTTTCCATTTTACGACGGAATGTGAGTTGTGACGGTGGGTACCTGGACTTAAGGTTTTTTTTAATAGGGTGCCAAGGGTGCCAGCACCCTTGCCTCAAATTTTTTCATCGAAAAATTAAAATTGGCTGAAACGAAAAAAAAAACATATTTTCTTGGGAGGGGGGGGGGGGGGGGGGGGGGTGAGGTTAGGATTGAATTGACCATGGTTAATGAGGGTCTGTACATGCTCAAATAGTGGGCCTGTTGATAGCTTGGATGTGTTTTATTATAGTGTAGACTTACTTACATGGGTCTATACTCTATAAGGTGGAATAGTGTGTCTGTTGATATTGATAGTGGGTCTGTTGTTATTAAGTGTGTGTCTACTCGCTTAATAGTGGGTCTTTGCTACTCTGAAATGGGTCTGTAGATTGACTTGTCGGTCTGTAAGATGAAATAGTGGGCCTGTTGATATTGATAGTGGGTCTGTTGTTATTAAGTGTGTGTCTACTCGCTTAATAGTGGGTCTTTGCTACTCTGAAATGGGTCTGTAGATTGACTTGTGGGTCTGTAAGATGAAATAGTGGGTCTGTTGATATTGATAGTGGGTCTGTTGTTATTAAGTGTGTGTCTACTCGCTTAATAGTGGGTCTTTGCTACTCTGAAATGGGTCTGTAGATTGACTTAAGGTCTGTAAGATGAAATAGTGGGCCTGTTGATATTGATAGTGGGTCTGTTGTTATTAAGTGTGTGTCTACTCGCTTAATAGTGGGTCTTTGCTACTCTGAAATGGGTCTGTAGGTTGACTTGTGGGTCTGTAAGATGAAATAGTGGGCCTGTTGATATTGATAGTGGCCGTGGGTCTGTTGTTATTAAGTGTGTGTCTACTCGCTTAATAGTGGGTCTTTGCTACTCTGAAATGGGTCTGTAGATTGACTTGTGGGTCTGTAAGATGAAATAGTGGGCCTGTTGATATCGATAGTGGGTCTGTTGTTATTAAGTGTGTGTCTACTCGCTTAATAGTGGGCCTTTGCTACTCTGAAATGGGTCTGTAGATTTATTTGTGGGTCTGTAAGGTTACAAAGTGGGTCTGTTGTTATTGGCAGTGGGTCTCTAAGGTCAAATAGTGGGCCTATTTTTATTAAGTGTGTGTCTACTAGCTTAATAGTGGGTCTTTGCTACTCTGAAATGGGTCTGTGGATTGACTTGTGGGTCTGTAAGATGAAATAGTGGGTCTGTTGATATTGATAGTAGGTCTGTTGTTATCAACTGTGTGTCTACTCCCCCATGGTCGCCTGGTAACTGGGCTGTGTTTATGACTGCAGTCAGTCAAAGATTTGAACTGTTGATTAGTCATTAGTAAATATCTGTCATAACATCCAAGCAAACATTCTAGAAGACTTCTATAAATAGTCAATAGTGTCCCCTAGACCGTAGGAAATGTAAAAATTTTAAGACGATGAGGCCTGAGTAAGTCGTAAATTCTGATTGGAGAATGCAGATTGCTGTTGTGAAGTTACCAACTTTACGTGAGTACTTGATTCTTTTCAATCCCAGTTTATTGCTGTCCTACAAATTTCTTTAATGCCAAATGTCGTCTAAAACACCCTGTTTCGCAAAAATTTTCCAGGGGGCTGCGCCCCCCAGACCCCTGCCACAGCTTGCTCGCTTCGCTCGCTGCACAGCTGGATTAAAAAACCTGGCTACCTCCCTGACCTATACCTACATCTTTATACTATAAGTATAAAGCCAGCATTTTAAGGGGTATTTGTAAGTTTTCCACATATGTATGAGTGGACTTTGGAAATCAAATTATCAACCAAAATGTGGTGGAATATTGCATATATATGAATAGTACATATAATCATTCTGACGGAAGAAGGTCATCAACTTCAAGTCATAAATTATGGAATGTAATATTTAGTCCAATCTCTAAGATTGTTGATAGGGAAAGTTCAAAAAATTGGATTAACAAATTTGCGAAAAAAGTTACTGCGAGCGCAGCTCAGCCAGCGAGCCACATTCAATGGAAAAGTGGGTCTTTAACCCAAAAAAGTCAGCACCATTGGGTGGGTCTGTGGCACCCAGAAAAAAAAAACCTTACCTGGACTGTAACCTGGCAACTGTAACCTAGCAATTATAGTTCATGTTTGGAAAGCTTACAGCTTGTGACGTTCAGATTCAGGTTCAGTTCAGGTCAGCAATGCAGTGGTGTTTGAAACACCACTGTAGGAGCATGATACTAGCCGGGCATATAACGAGACACAATGATGAACTGGCCCATCAAGTAATTTTCTAGGAGCACCAGCGATCAGCATGGGTATCGGGGACCAGGACGCCCATATCTAACATTCTTGGATATGCTGAAGAGGGATACCAAACTGCCAAGCAGTCAGGATATCCAGACAGTAATGCTTTACCGAAAAGTGTGGAAGGGGTACATAGCTGCTCGGACTTTAGAGTCGACCTAAGTCAGCAAGTCAGCAATAAAGTAGTAAAGCTTGTGATACCCAGAACTAGTAACAAATGGGTCGAGAGAGAAGGCCAGTTACACAGTGTTCACTAATTCCTCCGTCTTTGAACACGATGCTTATACTAAATACAGGTAAATACATTATTCATATTATAGTCATGAACTCCAGTTTTACACCAGTTGTTACTGACCGTTAGTACTTAGGCTACTTTAGCAGTGCACTAATAAAGTAGCCGCCTAGTAGAGTCGCCGCCTAGTAGAGTCGCCTCCTAGAGCCGACCTGGCTCGTCTAAACTTCTAAATTAGGTATATTTTAGAGATGAACCTTTTAATCCTGTGACATATAAAGGTGAAGACATATTCGTGTTACTGGTTCTCAGTACTATTTACTTATTTAGGTAAGTAGGTAGTAATCACTGAAACTTTCTGTAGACTAACATTCTTAGAGATCTACAAGTACAAAGGAAGATTAGGGCAGTCTGCAGTCTGCAGTCGTATTGTAAGCACCTATGTACAATATGGCATAATGGGTAACACGACCCTTGTCCTAACGCGACTCTTAGAGTCCGATAATGTGAACCTTCTAGCTTGCCAATTGCTCAAATGATGCACCAATGTACCATGTGAAAAGTGAGGCCAGTACTTAGGCAAAGGCCATACATTATGCGACTAAGCAAAAGCAGAAGCTTTATTATACCAGGTCTAACATTGCAAATCAGCACAAAAACTGCAAATGAATCTAACTGAAACACTAACGATATTCGAAATTGAGTCACTGTCAGAATAGTGTGTGGATACATTATTTTAACCATCATGAGTATAAAGTGGTCCCCCCTCTCGTAACTAGAGACACAGCAAGGACGCTAACGATCACACTAACAGTCACTTTTCTGTGAGTTCTAGACTCGTAGTTATTACGTTACTGTAGGTACTAACATACTAATGATAACTATTAAATGATGATAACCAGCATTTACAAATTGAGCCTATACTGGTGGCAGGGATTGACTATTGAGTGGTATCAGTTCACTTTTCAAGAAGACATAATATGCTGAATTAAATTATTTTTGAGGACAATTTCAGCTCGCAAATGGAGTTGAAACTTGGCCATTTTTAGCAAGATTATAGAAAAAGGACAGAAATAGGAGACAGCATTCTTAGAATTTTGATTTAGGCTTTAAATTTTTATAATTAATGTCGGAAGTGAGGAAAAATAAATGTTAGAATAATGGAGTTTATCAAAGGTGTTAATTGCGTCGTTGCGTTGCTTCGCAATATCAAGATATTGCACGTGCACGAGCAAGGACAGGTTAGCAACGCACGTTGCCATGCTTTATGATATGTCATGACTAGCTCACATTAAAAAAGTAACTTTGAGCAAAAGTATAACTTATTATAAGGCAAAGACAAAACTTACTGAGAATATTTTGACCTTAATTGCGCTAATACCACCTATCATCCCCCCATTAACTGTGCGTAGT